GTGCAAGCACATAGGAAGAAACAATCCGTGCTCCAAAGAGATTGCAGTCCGAACAGAAAGGACTGGGATGGGAAGGGAAGGAGAGGCACAGAAAGGCGCGGAAGTAACTTGCCTGCCGTCACAGAAGCTCAGTGGCATTACCAAGAACAAAACCCAAGTTATTTTGGCTCCCTACCTAGTGCCTTTAACTGGACATGGTACTAGTGTCTTCTGCGTGTACATTTTGCTTATTTCAGGAACAGGAACAAGCCATTAAAGCTTCCCATAAACATTTAATATTCAAGGAGTTTGTAAACACAAAATTTAATTTGAATGGTTCTAGTGTGTCCCCCATGCTATCCCGCCTGGCACAGAAGGTTCTCAAGAGAGCTGAGCTCAGCAGACAGGCAATTCTCCAAGGTGTGTGAAAATAGCACAGCTGTATTTCAGGGGTGCCTGATACAGCCAACAGCTCTGACAGATGGGCACGACCCTTTCAGACCTATAGTGAGATGTGACAGCGGAGCTTGGTGCCTAAGTATTTTGTAAGTTTCACTTGGTATGACTTCAGCTGGTGAGGGCAGAATGTTCGCTAGAGTTGTCTGGGACGGATCAGCCATGTCAGTATTAAGGGGGCAGGGGTACGCAGGAGAATTTTTCCATGCTCTCATCAATAGTCAAACCACCAGATACAGAGGTTAAGTGGCGTGCTCAAGGGCACACAGCAAGTCCGTGCAGAGCTAAGTCTAGGAACAGAACTCCGCCATCCTGGCCCCAAGCTTCCTGCTCTAACAGAAAATATTTCCTTTAAAAAAATAAAATTTACAATTCTAAATATTGAAAATAACTCCTAATACTAGAGTAACTCTTTCACTGGCCTTATCCTTGAATGCCTTCATTTTTTTCCCTTATTACTAATGCACATTTGTTCTCCATTTCAGATTCCTTGTGATTTTTTCCATAGATTCCTAACTCAAGACACTGTGCTTCTAAAACCCAGAATATAATTAATCAATACAAAGCACTAGCTCAAATCTAGCCAACCTAAACAAAGAGCATAAAATATTTGCTTTACTACAATATCAACATATTAATAAGCAGACAATCTGGTGTAGACTTTCGGGATTTTTCCTCTTTTGGAGAGACTGTCAGGGGAAATTAAGTTTAAAATCTGCAAGCTAGACAAACCGATATACCTTCAGCTATGAAATACTTACTTTTGAATTAGATTCAACCATAACATTTACAAGTATTGATTATGCCCTCATTCCCTCCTACATGAAAATGATTAAGAGAAGTTGGAGTGTTAAGAAAAATACATGATCCTCAAGAAAATGAACAAAAGAGCATGAATGGTAATCTCCTGCCACCCTCATCCAACTACTCGTTCACACTCGTAACCCCATGTGTTAATGAGATGCTCTGATGAATAAGGCTTGCTAGTTCAGATCCAAACTGAACCCTCCAAGGGTAGGTCCATGTAGCAATTAGACGCAGGCGGCTGGGCCATGACAGCTGACTCGGCCTCGTGGGGCTCAGGCTCTTTAATTGCAGTGCAACACTTTGGGATAGGGGGACCCTCCCACCTCACAGGGTCTCAGCGCCTGGGCTTCAGCTCCAACCTCTGCACTGCACTTAGTATCCTCTTAGTCAAGGGATGGGCAATAATTTTTGATGGGGGCCATGCCAACATTTTGGTAAATGGTCGATGGCTGCACTTTTCTATGGAGGGCGGGCGGGGTCTGAGATATAGGCTAAGTGAAGAAGGGAGCTCGGGGGGGACTGGGATTCAGGAGGGGCTGTGGAGTTTCAGAAGGAGTTGGGGTGAAGGAGGGGGTTGTGACCTGGAGCAGGGGATTGGCGTGTAGAGTACAAGAGAGGGTTTGGTTGCAGGAGAGGATTCTGACCTGGAGGAGGGGTATAGGAGGTGGTACAGAGTCTAGGAGGGGGTTGTGATCTGGGGGAGGGGTCCAGGAGAGGGTATGGGTGCAGGAAAGGATTCTGGCCTGGGAGAAGGGTGTAGGAGGAGGTGCAGAGTCTAGGAGGGAGTTGTGACCTGGGGAGCAGGGGGCAGAGGTTTTGGCTGGTGACCTGAGGTAAGGGGTAGGAGTGTGGGAGGGGGTGGGGTGGGATATCAGAGGCGGGCTCTGGCCAGGATGAGGTGGCTTCCAGTCAGCTGCCAAGCAGGAACCTCATGTAGGCTCCTTCCCTGCTGCAGCCCCCCAGGCACAAAGTGGCTGGCTGTTCCATGTGGCTTTCTGTGCCATGTGCCCATGGAGGGGTAGCTTCACACACTGCCCGCGCCCTGAGCACAATCTCTCAGCTTGCTTGTAATGTGCTATGAGGGCAGACTGAAAGAACTGGGTTTTTTTAGCTAGGAAAGGAGAAGACTGAGAGGGGACATGATAGCAGCCTTCCACTTCCTAAACGGGGGGTACAAGGAGGAGGGAGAAAAGTTATTCTTTGAATAAATGGCCTGGAGGTTGTGGGATTTCCAACACTGGAGATATTTAAGAGCAGGGACAATCTAAGTCCACGGTGTCCAAACAGTTCTGAAGCACTAGCCACTATTGTGACTACTGCTGTAGCCAACTAGCCACACTCAACCGGCCAAACACCCACATTGTTCAAGCCAACTAGCCACACTCAACCAGCCAAGGCACTTGGTCCTGCTGTGAAGGCAGGGGACTGGGATCTGATGATCTCTCAAGGATCCTTCCAGTTCTAGTGTTCTATGATTCTAATACTTAAGGAATAACATTTTCCCATATAAAGTATGCTCTATGAACTTGAATTGAAAATTAGTCACCCGGGGATAATGTGTCTTAGTGATGGCCCATTTAGATAGGGGGTACCCCACCCTATTTCACCAAGGAAGCAGTGCAAGGATCAGGTGTTTAGCCTTGCACAGTGCTACAGACTTTTTATGGGAAACCATCAGAGCTAACTGGGAACTATCAAAACCACCTCAAAGTACAAAAAGAAGTTTGCAAGAGGGGTTCACCCTCTGGGAACAGAAACAAAGGGCTGTTTTCAGAGTACAGAGCGGGGACAAGCCCGCTGAATTCCTTCCTCTGAGGCACCT